CGCGTACTGCGTGCACGTTGACCGCGTGCTGCGCACACCTTGACCGCGCACTGCGTGTACGCTGACCGCGTACTGCGTGCACGCTGACCGCGTACTGCGTACACCCTGACCGCGCACTGCGTGCACGCTGTCTGCCGGCCGGCCGATCCGGTCGGCGGCACACCTCAATCGACCGTCAGTGGGACCACTTGCGGACCGTTCAGGACGGCTCTGGTCGCCGAGTGGGGCTGTGGGGCTGCCTCCGTCGCCGCTGCGAGGCGCGTAATACGGCCTGGACCTCACCCGCCGGACGCCGGCTCAGGACGGCTCGGGTCGCTTTGGGGCCGCCTCCGTCGCCGCTGCGAGGCGCGTGATACGGCCTGGATCCCACCCGCCGGACGCTGGCTCAGGACGGCTCGGGTCATTTTGGGGCCGTCTCCGTCGCCGCTGCGAGGCGCGTGACACGGCCTGGACCTCACCCACCGGACGCCGGCTCAGGATAGCTCTGGTCGCCGAGTGTGGCTGTGGGACCGCCTCCGTCGCCGCTGCGAGGTGCGTGATACGGCCCGGACCCCACCCGCCGGACGCCGGCTCAGGACGGCTCGGGTCATTTTGGGGCCGCCTCCGTCGCCGCTGCGAGGCGCGTGACACGGCCTGGACCTCACCCACCGGACGCCGGCTCAGGTCGCGGCCCGGGGGCTGTTACTAGGAGCGGCGCGCGACGGGGTCACTGCTTGGTGTTTCTCTGCGCGGCCGCGACCCTCCGGACAATGTCTGCGGAAGCCGGTGCTACGTGCGGTGAGGCGGTCCGAAAATAATGCTTGGCATCCACCCGCCTGGAGCTTGTTTTCCTCGGCAGCAAACCAATCATGTGGCAGAATCTCGTGAGCCTCGCAAGTTCTGCAAGTCAAATTTGTGCTCGCTTGACTGCTGGAGGCTGGGGCTGGGATGCTCTCCTGAAAAATGTGTTGCGAGAAGTTGTTCTTGAGGTCTGCGCCACCAACGACAGGGGCATACCAGTTGTTGTGAGCACGACATGGGTCAGCTAGACTTCGTCGTAATCTCTGCGAAGGCTTGCCGACTACAGACCGCAATGTTATTAAGCACGATTCGGGCGGCGTAGTGCGTTTATTACCTTCCATTTATGGCGTACCGAGCGTCGCAGTTGATGGATTTAGCTGGAAACGCTGGCATTGGACTGTAGCGCTGCAAATATAAAGCCTCATGCAAGGCTTATCACAGTTGACGCGTAGGCATTTCTGCAGCGTGCGTTTGCTGCGGCTACTTGCCGCACATGTGTGCATGCTGAACATGTTGCTGTGGACGCCTTTTCCGTCGTGTAGTGCCGCCAAATGCCATGGACATTTGTTGCATTTTTTATCTTGACGGGCCGTAGCGAACGGGCTGATAATTCCTTGTTGAATACAACCTTTCTGTGCATATTTAATTATACAACGCTTGATTAATTAATTTATATGAAGGCGTGACGTCAGGTTCTACACCAGGCAGCATTAAGCAAACTTATTAATTCATTTCTCGATTGCGTATAAGCCAGTATGCCCGATCTGTTTTCATCGCAGATTCCTTTGCTTTTGCTTCGGAAGCCAAAGGCTTTTGAGAATGCTTTGGAATGAACATGGCGACTTACTGTAATGCCCCAATGGACAAGCTCTGATGCATGTAGCCGATTGCGTTTTACACTCGTAATGCCGACGGTATATCGGGCAAAGTATATTGCGTTTCAGGTTGCAAGCCCCATCAGCCCCAACAGTTCGCTCCGTATCCAATATAGTCACCGAAGAGAAGCGGAATGGGCTGAGTGATGACAGCTGTCCGAACGGGCAGAAGTTGAAGCTCGTTGTTCCGTCGGCCGGGCCGGAGATGAACCTCCTGCATAACGAATACGCTTCGCTGACGTCGGCCAGCTGAAAGAATTAGCGGTCCGCACCGGCCAAACGCAACTTTCACGGACAGCCAACGGCCGCGATCAGACGGGCAGCGAAATTCGGTGTGATAAGGCTCTCGCTGGTGGCGATTAGACTCGTCTAGCGCCGTAGCCAGTCACGCGTGGAGTCATAGTCGCCATAACCAAAATGTCAAAGAGTTGCTATCGTCGCCACTTGTGTGGTTATTTGTGGATAAAAATATGTGGCATCTCCCCGCAAGTTAATGCGGTGTCTTTCCTTTTTGCGACTGGAAGCTATTCTCTCAGCAATAACTGCGGAATTACACCACTTGGGCGCACAGCGCTGCGGCGCTGTGTGCTGGATCTCTTAAGTGAGTGCGTACCGGCATCTTTGCACTGGCTGAGGTTGAAAAGGTGCTGACTGCAATTCATAGTTCTTCTCGCGCAAGGAATAATTAAGCTCTAAAACTCTGCCGGTAGGCTCGCTCCTCTTTTCTCCTCATCACAGATCAATCATGTTAGCTCTCACGGTCCAAATTGTTAAGCACATTACAGAAATTGTCTGCTTAAAGGAAATATTCCATATTCCTATTGGGTTTTGAACTTGAACAGCCATCTTGAAGACCTTTCGGTGCTGTTCACAAGGGCAGGGTCCCTTAGGACCTTAACGTCGCTAGTTTATGAGCTACACGCCTGCGAAAGCGGGGGAGAATATTTCGGGGAGAGTATTCAAAGTCATCTTGGCATTCATGGCGCATAATAGTGCCATCCAGACCTGCCACGTCATAAGCATGCAGCAATCAACGCCAATAAAAATATAATTGTCGTGACGATCATATCTGGTGTTCGTGAGCACGTTTTCCAGATATTGAGGCCGTCAAATGGCTCCCAATCAATGTTGTGCAAAGTACGATATGTAATCAAAACAATGACGCATTAACACGCGCCCGGGTGGCGGGCTGGATACCCTTCGCTCGGGTAGTGTGCGGGTCAATTTGACCCCCCTGATGTCTCGGGAACTAAGAAAGCTAGAGACACCAAATTTGCAGGGTGTGTTGATCTGTGCGTGCACCCACTTAGGTCATAGTTTCAAGTTCCCAATGAACAACAAGTTCCTAGGTCATGACCTTCGGGTTAGATAAGGTCAAACAAGGTCAAATTCCAGGTTGGTCTCTAAAGTGCCCCACATCCTAGATAACCATTTTTAAGCAAAAGGTGACATGCTCATCTAAGGTCAGTACTTTGTTTAACCTTTTGAAGGTCATGGTGACCAAAGGCATAACAGATTGCTCTGAGTTTTGCATTTGAATAAGCGACAAAGATTATGTTAGGCGGTATGTTCCTAAAAGCAAAATGTTGACCTGGATCATTTTAGGTCAGTGACCTATTCTAGCCTCCAAGAAGTCCTTGGAAGATGTATTCAGCGGTTCCTGATATCATTAAATACGAAATGAGCACCAGAAACTATCCCATACAGCAAGCCCTAGAGTAATAAAACAGGCTTATTTTGACCTTAGTCTGACCTTCATACCTGACGTTAGGTCAATGTGATTTGTTCATTCATCTACTGTGTTTCCTAAGAAAGCATCTCAGAGATGTATGGCTTCGTTTAACACTCCGTTGTTCAGATTGTCACTCCGTCAGATTGAACGATTCCCCAGAAATTGATTTCACTGTAACCATCGCCTGACTTTGACCTGCCATAGGTCAGCGATCTTGCAAGGTACATCTAAATTTTTGATACCGAGCGATCCACTATTCAATTGCCTACAGCCATGCAAATTGTGGCGCGGCTACGCCGCGCCGTTCGGAAACCATTTTGGAAAAAACCCTCGGGGGTCAATTTGACCCCCACTAGAGTGCGTGTGTACTAAACAGGGAGCATGTGTACTAAACCGGGAAGTTGTGTCGTCTAGAGCAGCCTTTTCCACTGAGAAGTACACCGATAGTTATGAGTGAGCTTATGTCATCATGTCTGATGCTGGCTTCAGTATCTTCAAATATGAAACATTCCCTTTGACAGCGTTGTTTTCACGCTTTTCACCGATCGAGCTCTCACGGCAACGGAGCCAGCAAGTTGGTCTATTTCGAGTTATGTGGACGACGTGTTTAACGTGTTATGGACGTGGTGAAGGTTTGACGGTTTGTCACTGATGTAAGCTATTCTAATTTATCCTGATATAGCCTAATAGTTAAGTGTTGGAAATAAAGTATATTTATTAAAGTAATAATGATAAATGTAATGTGTCATAAGGAGATATTCGGACCCAGTAATCTCAGTGGTGTCACTGACTTGATGACATGTGGTATTAGGCTAAATAAATCGGCCCAGCTCGTGACAACTTGATGCCGAATTTGGCTCTGGCAAGTTTCAATTCATCCAGTTGTCTTCGCTCTCCTGAGTCATATTTTTTGTTGGAAGAATGTCGAGTATTGTGGGTTGAAAGTCACTCAAGTCCTTTTCTGTCGTCGACTGACAATGGTTAACTGGCAGGGAAAGCCTGGTGGAAGCGCCCTCGTGCTTTTACCCACCATCAATGCACACATCAGGGGCGTGTGTGAAGATGGCGTCGCATCACCTGCAAGAACTTTTAGTAAGCATACACGACACTAAATGATTTAAGGTCGTTGTACCGGGGTTTTATTTAAAAGGGCTCTTTATGAGGAGAATCGAGCCGGTCCTGCGTTCTGCTTGTTTGTACCCAACTTCCCCGCAGGTTGTGGTTGCGTTTCTCCCCGCAGACGGTGCGGGCCGCGTCTCCTGCGTGTTCGCCCGCCGGTGGCGAGACGCCTGTCCGTCCGCTAGCTGCGGCAGTGGTCGTGACCCGCCCACCGGCCCTCAGGTGGTGGCAGTGTTCGTGACCCGCCCTCCGGCCCACAGGTGGTGGCAGTGGTCGTGACCCGACCACCGGCCCTCCGGTGGCGGCAGTGGTCGTGACCCGCCCACCGGCCCTCAGGTGGCGACAGCAGTCGTGGCCCGCCCACCGGCCCTCCGGCCCTCCGGTGGCGGCAGTGGTCATGACCCGCCCACCGGCCTCCGGTGGCGGCAGTGGTCGTAACCCGCCACCGGCCCTCCGGTGGTGGTAATGGTCGTGACCCGCCCACTGGTCCTCAGGTGGCGTACGGGCTGACGGAGACCAGCCCGCTGTTAACGGTCGGCTTCCCCTCCGATGACGTGGAGCACCGCTGCGGCACCGTCGGCTACCCGCTGGACCACTGCGAGCTCAAGGTGGTGGACGAGAGCGGCCAGATCGCGCCGCCCAACACGCCCGGCGAGCTGTGCGCGCGCAGCTACAGCACATTCCTCGGCTACTGGGACGACGCGGAGAAGACGCGTGCCAGCCTCACTCCGCAGCGTTGGTTCCTTACCGGGTGAGTGGCCCGTCTGGCCCCGGGCGCTGGGCGCCGCCCGTCCGCCCGCCGCACGCCGCCCGAGGTCCGTCGCACGCCGCCGGGTAGCGGTGGCGAAGTGGCGCGATCTCCGTGTGTCGCGGCCCGCGCCCGGCGGAGCTGACGCCGGGGTCCTTGTGCTCGGCTTGCGCATGGCCAGCTTGTTATGTGACATGTGTGCTTTGTATTCTGATGATCGACGGTATCAGTGTGGAGTGGGAAGCTGTCCGTCGTGCGTGGCGCTCGTGCGTATCCAGGCGCTCTGCTGGCACCTGGCGGCGCCGTTTTTGTACACAGTGCCAGAGCGAACTGACGTCCCAGACGGGGATGCGCCCCTCGTGCGGTGCAGTATGCTGGCCGGTGCGGGACTGGCGAGTTTCCTGCGCTCACCTGATACCCGCTTAGTGTGGTGTGGGCTGACACCCGCTGCGCTCTGTCGACGGCTCTCCCGTTCTGTTGCTGATGCGCGGCAGGCGCTAGCCCGAGATGTCCCCCGAGCTCCTTAATGCGGGGTGGGGTGGCACCTCCCGCGCTCTGTCGACGGCTGTCCTGTTCTCTGCGGACACGCGGCCAGTGCGAGCCAGTGATGTCCGCTGAGCTCCTAAATCACTGAAACCCAGTCCACTTCGTTTCTCCGTTGCCACGACAGCGGCCGGCGGCGAACGCGACCGAAGAAATACGATCTTGCCCCGGTGCCGTTGCCGTCCTGATCTGGTACAATGAAATTGGAGCCGGCCGGTGTTTTGCGGCCGGAGCGCGGCTGTTGCCGCCTGGAGTCCGGCTCGGCCGACGGCCGCGGATGTGTGTCCAGACTGATGAATGGCGGCGGCGAGCCGCGACGGCCGCGAAGCCAGCCGTATCCACGGGCGCACGTCAGATGGGGTGGCGCCCACTGAGGCTGGGCGAAACGGTATGGCAGGATAGCGAACAGTGATGCAGCTTCACAGAAGTCGGCACGGAAACGCACACGTGCCAATGCAATCTGTATGTCGATGCTTTGATGGTCTCCTGACCAGAAATCGCATTGAAACTTTCGCTACTAATACTGGAAATTTGTATTGCGCAATGATATCGGAGTGCGGTCCTTATTTTTGAAAGGCGCTTGTTTATTGTTTATCAACACATTTCAGCACAATGCAATCTTCGTTTCGTAAAAGTACCAAAAAGACTCTTGCAACGGAATACCACTTGCATCGCTTTAGAAAAAATCGATCATCTTCTGTTGATATTTTGAGGGTAACGACTGTATCTGATGCATACCCCATCGGGTGCATTCTTCGTTTCATCTCAGTATTTTTTAATCAGCAGGCAGGTTGTGTACTCTGGGGATATAAATATTTGGTAGTGTTGATCGGATACTAAACTAGCCCTGAGATTTTTGATGACATAGTCTGGTGAGCAACGGGCTACTATCTTTGACGACTTCTGGCCTCGCATTGACGTCCTGTGCGATGTCTTCTGATGTTAACTTTAGGGTGTTACGACATTCCGAAGCCCCGCCCCGAACCCCCGCTATTCAGCGCTGTGAGTAGCTATATTTGACACGGCTGGTGAGGTCGTAACGCGTTTACGTCCTCAACACCGCTGAACGGCCGCTATTGGTGGCGCTGTATGCCGGAGCGGCCACCCCGCCACCACGGCCGTGCGCCGCCCCGCCGCCCGACAGGCAGGTGGACCTCGGAACGGCCACCCCGCCACCGCGGCCGTGCGCCGCCTCGCCGCCCGGCAGGCAGGTGGACCTCGGAGTGACCACCCCGCCACCGCGGCCGCACCCGGCCGCATGCCGCCCCGACGCCCGGCAGGCAGGTGGGCCTCGGGGCGGCCACACCTCCACCGCGGCCGTGCGCCGCCCCGCCTCCCGGCAGGCAGGTGGACCTCGAGGTGGCCGCCCCGCCACCGCCACCGCGCCGCCCCGTCGCCCGGCAGGCAGGTGGACCTCGGAGCGGCCGGCACCGCGCCGCGCCGCGCCGCGCCCGGCGCCTCCGGCTCGGAGAAATCGTTACCGATCAGTGCCGGCGGGGTCTGTGTCGCGGCTCGCCAGTCGCCGCCGACGTGACAGCTCCACTGAGTGAGCGGCCGCTCGGCCTGCGCCGTCGTCGTCGTCGTCGGCGGCGGCGGCGGCGGCGACGGCGGCGGTCGGCCATCGGTTGGACCGCGGCCGGCGGTGGCTCCCCGCCGCCGGTGAATTCCTTGCGCGTTGCCGCCGCGTGCTGACGCGGTTTACCTGGAGCTCTGCTGGGCGCTCTGATGAGTTCCGGGCGCTGCTGAATCCCATCGTTTGAGGTGCCGGCTGGTTTGAGCGTGTGCAGCTGGCGCACCATTTGAGTGCTTTGTGGGGGACGCGAAGTTTGGATTGGGATGCTTCAGCGAACTGGATGGACGAATAGACCTATGTCGCTAGCTGTCGTGACTTTCCTTTGGGGCTGTTATCTGTCAAGGTCTCGTTGGTCTCGGATTGTCTCAGTTACTTCTCTTTTTGGGTCTTGATTCGCATCTCGGTCATACGCCACGGCATGTCTCATATTATGCCAGTTATTTACCTTTTTGTATCTTGATTCACGTGTATTCTGGATTGGCGAAGTAATGTCATAGTATACATGCAATGTATCAGTGCACTATAGCACACCACAAAGTGACATATGGGCCTTCAATAAAAAGCCATATCTTCAGAGTTACGTTGCATCCTGAAAATATCACAAACTGAATCGGAAAATGGAGAAAAAATGTCACTACCTGAGATCAAAAGGCAAGGAGTTCAACAACGAGTTAAGTCATTTCACCCGGAACGTTGCTGAGCACTTATATTGAAACATTGGAGCAGTGCCGTCAAGCTTCCTGCCGCCAATCATCCTGGCATTGGTACAATAATGAATCGGGTTGTCAGAATTGTAAATGAGAAATCGGAAATCAACCTTTGGATGTTTTTCTTTAGTGGTCTTTAAACTATTAGGAAAGGAACACTGCTAACCACCGAAAATCTGAGCAGCTCCGTCAATCCATGAACCTCCAATACGTTTCGTTCAGTACTAGCGCTAGTGCCTCTAGGTGTTTATGTTACAGACTCCTGTGCTTTCATCGCTTAAGCGCTGGTATTGTGCGCGCGTCAAAGCGATCACGGCGCGCCGATACTCACGCTGAATCGATGTGATCGAGTCGCCCGAGTACAAAATTGCGCTTAAAGCTGCATGCCTCAGGACGGGAGTAGTGGACTAGTGACCTTGATTTGGGGCGTAGCCGCGTGACTGCTCCAGCGAATCGTTGGCGTGGTTCGATAATGCTGGTGTGTAGTCGTCTTGATATCGATGTCAGTCCTAAACAGCACTCCCTCCCTCCCCCCTCCCCCCCCCCCCGTTCGTTACTTGGACGTGGCCGTCAAGGTGTAACGGCGCGGTTGGAAGGTGCCATTTGCTGCGATCGATGCCGGCCGAGCTATCTAATTTTATGAGCGGCTCGGCCAAGATCAGCAAGCAATTCCGAACTCGTCATTTGCTAGGATTTCTCTGGACGCGCGTGATAGAAGCGTCTTGCGGGTTAGGCTGTCGCTGTCCAGGTTGTTTGGTTCGAATTATTTGGACGTCTGTGTCACTCAGAATACGCCAGCGCCGATTCCTGCCAGGTGGAGTCTGATGACTCCCTGTAAATCATGCATCAGCACAGCTTATGTCTCATGTGGTGATTCCTTTCTTCATCGTTGATGACATTTGTGTGGTCGCGTTCACTTAAAAAGTATTGAGTAATGCAAGTGATCCAATATCATTACTACGTTGACGAGAGGGGACTGTGCATCGCGGCGTTTGCATCACAAACTTTGCTTTCCTTCAACCCTTATAAACGTGAACCCTGGTTCACATTTCTGGCTGTGGATCAAAATCCGTGCGACTCATTCCCCTGGCGGATGTGGCGTGAATTTGTGGAACATGCAGCTGTTCTGCAGAGCACGGTGAGCACGTGAAACATCTGGGTAGGCATATTGGGCGGAGCCTTTTTTGGCCACAGGCTCGTCATGGTTCCTGCAAGAGGCCATCATGGCGCAGGCTTATCGTTATTGGAGACGAACTTGGACCGGCGTCGTGAATTAGCTTGAGCCGATTACTCGGGCCGAATTCTGACTCAGAATAGCGCCAACGACCCGAGCACTGTGATGCAAATGTCACATTTCATCAGAAGATTGCAACATACTGAGCGAGCAAATGCCAACGGATGGCATGATTCGGATCAGGATTTTGCACGTTGCTCTGCCTGCTGCCCTGGTTGCGTTGGTAATTTCTCTCCACATCCATCGCCGGGAGCATACGTTGTACGTTTATTGAACAGTACATTCGCATAGAAGTTGTGATACTTGTCGGGCTGGGATTGGTTGGACACAGTTTCGCCTCGGTCAGTCCGCGCAGTTACCGTTGCGGTGCGATGCCGTGGGCCACAGCAGCCTGCAAGATCACGGGCTCGAAGTGCCCTCCCTGTGGGCCCGGACGTAGCGTGTGTGCAGTTCGGTCGGACCGACCGTTTGCGGCGTACACATGACATTCTGCAGCGCTGGAAAGGATGCCACTGGAACGTTATGCGACGGTGCTGCGAGCTTATCACGTACATAATCGACGTACATAATCGATAGCTGCATCGCTTCAAATCGATCTGGTCGTCGCACAACCTTCCAACACAGCAGTAATGGCAGCCGAGGCTTCAACAGCAGCATCATTGCCGGCTATGTTACCGATGCAGTGATAGAGCCAGCACAACGCGACAATCATTGGACGTTAGCAGCGTCAGCGGGGGCGGCAGGGGTACTGGTGCCACCGATGCCGACGGAACCAGTGGAATCAACACCAGCGGTAGCCAGCGAATAGAAAGAACGCCATGGCCAGAGCTAGCAGGAACAGAAAGAGCGCAGTTGCAACATGCGCATTATACATTTTCTGAAGCATTCTCAGCGTGCCCCCAATCCATTTTGCCGGGCGCCAGCCAGTTATTGAGTGGGGCTCTAGTCCG